TATATATTATAGAATATATATTGTTTATATACAATAAATTGTTTCTTTCAAATAAAATAAAACCCATAAAGATGATCATGAATACGTAAAAAAGAATATTAAATATAAGTAAATCTCTACTTTTAATTTTTCTAAATACAATGTCAAAATACAAGTGAGATCGTGTTGGTCCCATTCATGCATTTCAGGTAAAACAAAGCTTATAAATACAATAAAATTTTTTGTTAATGTTAATTTGTGCTTTAAAATACATATTTAATTTTTTACATTTAGATTAAATATTTTGTTAAAAGTTATTACATTTTAATGCATGTTTCTAATCCTATTGCACATTATCGTAAATTACTTTTGTATTATTTGAATTACTTTAGTCAAGGAAAAAACAATCCACATTTAAAAAACTTAAAATGTAGAAAAATAAAAAATAAATCTGATATGTTTATTCTTTTCTGTGATGATTCTGAACTCTCAAAACTTCAGACACTTTGGCCTAATAGTTTTCTATCCACTAATTTGTTTTTATCCATAAATTTATCTTTTCACACTATCTTAAAATAAAAATAAAAAATATAATCAAATTACAGGTTACACAATTACTTTTATATATATATATATATATATATATATAAAATAGCTGCTCATGTTTACATTCACACTCTGCAATACTATAAACATTGCTTTATTCCCCATACAGAATATATATCTGCCAGTTCAACTTTATACTCTGAGACATGCTGAATCCTGCCTGTGTAGTTCATTCAACCAGATCGTAAATTAATGATGGTCATTTTCAGCAGGAATAATTCATAAGCGCTCTGAATTATGCACCAGATAAACCTGTATGCTGATGTAAATGCTCCTGGTCTGTTTGACCTGTTCTTCTTTACTCCTGTACTCATTATTTCTTCGCTGTTTTCATCGTGCTTGTCTACTTCATGGCATCTCAGGCCTCTGAACACTGCAGCAGTGCTGTACTCTCTTGGTTTATTCTGTATTTTTTTTTTACTGTTTCCAGATCAGTCCATTGAGGCCCCAGAGGCCGAAGAGTCAAGTGATCAACCTGCTGGGGGAGAAGAGACTCTCGGTTTCTCCAGGAGCCCCTGCGAACCAGTCTGTGCCCAGCGTTCCTCCACCCATCACCCCACGGGCCAAACTACAGTTCAGCCTGCTGTCTGGATCCAGTACGTGTCATAATTACCATACTGATCACTATTTAAGCTCACCTTTTAAGCTGTAACTGGAAATATGATGCGTTGGGGTAACTAAAGCAAACAAGGATAGATTATCAGGGAAGCTCCGCCCATCGTTAATAAGTGGGAGTGGCTACAGTTTAATCGATAAGTATGTTTAAAATAACTTCCTGCTCCTTTCACTGTTTCTTAGGCTGCATTTAAACTGCAGATCTTGAATTGCGATTTTGTTACTGTATCTGATTTTTTTGCTGACCTGCTTACATCATCTTTTAAAGTGACTCGTATCCGATTGTCTTCATTTATACTGCAAACGGTAAAAGGTGCAATGACCAGGAAAAAAGAGCAGGTGCTGACTGACGGCTGATAATAAAAGAGCGCTCTTTTCTCCATTCCTGTATTAAATCTGTTTGCAGGGTTTCACTTTTTTTTTCTTTTTTTTTTTTTTTACTATTTTTGACTATTTTTTTACTATTTTTTTGTGGTGTTGACACAATGCTTAATTGGTACTAAAGGGCCCAAAGTCTGTCAAGAAAATCCCCCACACATTACACCACCACCACCACCAGCGGGAACCGTTGATACAAGGCAGGATGGATCCATGCTTTCATGTTGTTGACACCAAATTTTGACCCTACCATCCGAATGTCGCAGCAGAAATGGAGACTCCTCAGACCAGGCAAGGTTTCTCCAATCTTCTATTGTCCAATTTTAGTGAGCCTGTGTGAATTTTTGCCTCAGTTTCCTGTTCTTAGCTGACAGGAGTGGCACCAGGTGTGGTCTTTTGCTGTTGTAGCCCATCTGCCTCAAGGCTGGACATGTTGTGTGTTCAGAGATGCTCTTCTGCAGACCTCGGTTGTAACGAGTGCTTGTTTGAGTTACTGTTGCCTTTCTATCAGATGAAACCAGTCTGGCCATTCTCCTCTGACTTCTGGCATCAACAAGGCATTCTCTGTGAACCCTAGAGAGGGTTGTGCGTGAAAATCTCAGTAAATCTGCAGTTTCGAAAATACTCAGTCTAGCCTGTCTGGTACCAACAACCGTGCCACAATCAAAGTCACTTAAATCCCCTTTCTTCCCCGTTCTGATGCTTGGTTTGAACTGCAGCAGATCGTCTTGACCATGTCTACATACATAAATTCATTCAGTTGCTGCAGTCTGATTGGCTGATTAGAAATTTGCATTAACGAGATGTTGGACAGGTGTTCCTAATAAAGTGGCCAGTCAGTGTATATACATTAATCGATTTGGCTAAAAATACAATAAAAAGTTACATAAATCAATCAGATTTGCAAAATTGGTTATTCATAAATGTATTTATGAGGTTTGTAATGCTTTAGAAACACAATATTCTTATGAAATCAAAATAATTAATATTAAGAAAATTATTATATTTAATGTTTTTATTTAATATAAATGTTCATCATATAATATTTTACAAACGTTTTCCATCTTTGAAAGTATATTTTCACATTTTGTGCGTTCTTGATGGAACATTTTTGTAGAACACAAACTTTTGAGTAACTATGCATGTGATACCATGTGCATTGTTATTTTCTTATTGCTTATTTTATTTTTAGTATTAGCACTTGTTGTGGACATTTTTCATTCTGAATACTTTTCTTCATTTCCCTCATTGAATTGAATGCAACTCATCACACGTTTGATGACGTTAACTGCTGTATTGTGATGACACACAGATGTAATGCGGTGATGTGAAGCGGAGGACTCTGGCAGAATGCAGAGGTGTTAATAACTGGGATGAAAGCGTGTCTGATCTGCTCTCCCTCTCGCTGCTTGTGAAGTTGTGTAATGGATTCAGGCTTTGCGAGGCGTTTACCGTCCCATGGGTTCAGCCCTCTGTCTGAATACTGAGTTTGCACTGCGTGTCGTCATCTCGGCGCTAGTTTATTCAGCAGAGAATGAATGCAGAGTCCTCCTCCAACAGCACATTTCACATTTACACACAGTTTAATAATTTCAAAAAGTGTCATGTCTAAATGCGTTTTTCTCATGTCTAACGTTACTTTTGAGCAATGTTCTGCATCTTTTCAGTTGCAAAGCTAACACTACCCTGCTCCAGAGTTTGTTTTAATCGAGCCGAGACCACCTCATTCAGGCGATATCAGACCAGTTGTTTTGGTGCGGATTCGAGCACGTTTTCTGGATTTACATATGCCAAACGAACCGCACTAACTGGGGACACGAGACGGGTTCCGAAACAAAAGTATAGGTGTGAAAGCACCGTAAGCTTTCACCGGAAGTTTATCATTGGCTGAAAAGCACTAGCTGTGCGTATACCCTATAGACCAATCACCATGTTTGTAAACATTCAGGATGCGCGCAGGGAGGTGGCAGAAAAAAACCGGGATCGCTAGCATTTACAACAAAGGAATGACATCAGATGCGGTGCAGAGTTTGTTGTTGTCTTAGAAATATGATATATTGGTTACACATTATATATATTATTTACTTAATGCTTTCAGCATATTATAACAGCTCGTCGGACAGTGATTCGGCAAAATTAACGTTAAAGTGAGCGGCGTTCGTCTGACCGGTCCATTTGCGATAGCACCCACCCAACGGATATTGGATAAGACAAAATGACCAAGCATCCAGCCCCAAATATACAATCTCATTGAAGCTCCAAGTGATTTTACCAGAGAGAAGTTAAAGGTCTACAAGTCTTTGGATGCCAACAATGATGTTCTGTGTGGTCATGTGAAAAAGAATATAATGCTCCATGATGATCAGATTCAACACTATGTAGAGCTAAAAGCCGAGATTCTGCTTAGCCAAAGACAAGGAAAGAAGACGGAGTTAATGTTATACAAGGCCCGGGTAATTAATCACCAACACGCAAAACGACTGCATTCTGACAGTGAACTGCACCTGTACGGCAGGATATGTGAACGAGGTAAAGTCAGTTTTATATTCGCACATTCAGACTTTCTCCTTAACAATATAATTTTATTAAAGTACTATTTGCAAACTTTAAATAGCGAAATCTTATTAGCAGCCAATGACTATCAAAGTACAACATGTTCACAGTCAAATAAACTGTGTTAATGTGTTTTTTCAAGTCACACTTGCTGGTTATTTCAGAACGAATATTCAAAGTGCCGTGGTAAACAATATAGGGAGTTTGTCACAAGTTGTAACTGAATGAATGTGTGAATATAAAACCAACTTTACCTTAATAAATGTAACTTTCACGTTTCATTCTTCAGTGTCCGCACTTTAATTCACCATAACTGTTTTTTGCTGAAATCATTTCTGCAATCAAAAACGAGTGATGTGTATGATTCAGCATAGCGTGAACTGACCTGATATGACATGAAAACTGCAGAGTCCAGCATTTCTAATTAGCTCCTCACTTCATTCAGCTCCCATTTAGCCAAAGACGTCTGCAGTCGGTATTAAAGCAGTGTGTGGTGTATGGTAAAAGTTACGTTTTCTATTTTTGGACTCGTATTCGGCATCCTACCGCACAAAACAACATTTTTCCCATTTTAGCCTGTCCTGTTTTTGCAACCGGGGACCCGTGTGACGTAGGTTGGTAATTGGTCTATTGTTTTATGTTCAATTCACACAATGTTTTTCAAAAGATTTGTGTTAGGGCAACATTAAGGAATTCTGTGGAACACAGCATGTTTTACAGTATTTAAATGTTCAACAACCAGAATCAGAACCATCAATATACTATGTTTTGCTGATCTCAGTGTCTTTGTGTTAGTCTAAACAGCTCTGCATGTTGTTTCTATGCAGATCTGGAGCTGAATGGGACGAGTTATGCAGATAAGGGGGAAACCCCGCCCCCACTGCCTGTCAAGAGCAGCATGGGTGACTATGGAAACCTGATGGACAACTCGGACCTGGCCAGTCCGACAACACCCCCTCCACCACCACCACACCAGCGGGTACAACTACTGTTTTTCTCAGAGATGAAAATCTCTGTATTACTTACCATTGGAAAAGCTGTAAAGATAAAAAAATTGGTCACGTGAGGCACAAAATGACCAATCCCCCCTCCGTATAGACCTACTCCAGAAGAAAAAATATTATAGGAAATACTGTGAAAAGTTCCTTTCTCTGTTAAACATAATTTAAGAAATATTAGAAAAGCATAGCGTATATCCTATGCACACTACAGAATCTCACCGGAAGTAGTAGTTTATCCGGGTTCTTCTCACACACTGTTTTTCGAATTCTATGAATTCAGACGTACTACTCTGCTCGCATACTGATTTTAGTGTACTATATAGAATGCATGTATACTAAGGGTGTCACGATCCTCCAAATCCTCGATTCGATTACATTTTCGATTCTAAATGCACGATTCGATTCGATTTTCCATTATGAATAATTAATTAATTATTTGTAGCCTACCGTTTAAACTACCTGACCTGCATGGTCTTTGTTTTACCCATAAACAAATCATACAGTAAATGAATAAAGGCAAGATACACACATATTTACCACCTGTCAATCACTTTTTCTGCGGGACTCGTGAATAGGCAGTGATCTGTGTCGTTATAATGGCGTCGGTTAAAAAGACGCACAACCAACAGGAACCAGCCAACAGTATCTGAGTTGTTCGCTAAAATGACTAACGTTAAGTACAAGTGAGTTAAAGATTGAAGCAGTCCTCTGACTGCCTGGACCTGCTCCTGTCTCCTGCTTCAACAAGCCTGTTTTTTTCCCACTTGGCAAGCCAAGCTGACGTGACATGGGGGCGTGGCAGCATCGACGATTCTATTTTTTGATTCGATAATCGAAATTGAGCATAAATTTCGATCGATTTCGATTAAAAATCGAAATCGTGACACCACTAATGTATACCATTTTGAACGCAGCCCAACCACTCAAATAGCATCCTAGCAACGACTCAGAGCACTGTCTTTCGGATGAGACGTTACACCGAGGTCCTGACTCTGTGGTCATTAAAAATCCCATGGCCCTTCTCGTGAAAGAGTAGGAGTGTAACCCCGGTGTCCTGGCCAAAGTCCCTCTGTCGGCCCTTACTATCATGGCCTCCCAATCATCCCCTTCCACCGAATTGTCTCTATCACTGTCTCTCCACTCCACCAATAGCTAATGTGTAGTGAGCGCACTGGCGCTGTTGTCCTGTGGCAGCCGTCGCATCATCCAAGTGGATGCTGCACACTGGTGGTGGTGTGGAGAGACCCCCCCTCATGACTGTGAAGCGCTTTGGGTGTATGGCCATACATAATAAATGCACTTTATAAATACACACATTACATTACATCTTAGCGACCACCCAGAACATAAACCACTCAGAAATCACCATAGCAAAATAGAATTGTGCTAGTAGCTACTTTAGCAACCACCTTCTTTTATCATTTAACTCTGATTGAATTTACACCAGTTGTAAAGTGACCCTCATTTATGACCTAGCGGGACATGACGCTCATGGTTGAGTGTGTTCCAGCCAATACATGCAGGACAAGTGTAGAAGTGCAGTGGTGTGCTTTATAAGGTGTCTGGTCAGTGCTGATGCACTGTATTTACTTAAACACACACACACACACACAGCACTGTCTGAACGAGCAGAATCACAGCGGTCAGGGTGAGTGTAAAGCTGATGCTCAAACACTGCTTGACCAGAGCCACTGTGAACACTCATCTCTGAGTCTCTCTCTCACACACACACTGCAGGGCTTTCTCTTTCAAATCCCAGACAGCGCTTAATTAACCCATAACCTGAACTTCCTGCAGCTGCTGGAGCTCATGTGAAATTACAGAGCGCAGGCTGGAAACTGCCTCAAGTTCTGCACTCAAATATTGAACTTTTGAAGTTTGAGATCTATAAGATTATTTTAGGGTTTTCCTTTTAGGTCTGCTCTCCAAGACTGAATTTAACTGATCAAATTAACAGTAAAAACCCTTTCATTATATACTTAATATAATCCCTATTAATATAATCCCTATTAATATAATCCCTAACTTTACAATCAGATCAGAATGATTTCTGAAGAATTTTGTGACACTGATGAATATATATAATACTAACATTGTGGATTATAATCTATAATACAGTGTCTAAGTGGTTAGCACTGTCGCCTCACAGCAACCTGGCTGGTTGCCAGTTCAAGTCCCGGCTGGGCCAGTTGACATTTCTGTGTGGAGTTTGCATGTTCTCCCTGTGTTGGTGTGTGTTTCCTCTTACATTCTGCAATCATATATTGCTCTTAACGCTGTATACTATAAATAAATATATATATATATATATATGTGTTATATATTGTGTTATATGAATATCCAGCCTGATCTCACGGGGAAACTGAAGTATTTTACGTTTTGTCAGTTTGCTGGCTAATACGAACAAATTTGAACACGTTCAGTCGTACAAAATTTAGAATTTTAAAAAGGAGGCATGGCACCCAAACCCCATTAAGTGATGAGCAAATCGCACTAAATTGTACGCATTAAATTGTACGAATTCATACGAATTAGTCACTAAATCAAAAAGTTACAAATTGCTGTGAGATTGCGTTGGAATATCGCAGGGGTGGCCAACCCTGTTCCTGGAGAGCCACCTTCCTGCAGATTTCAGTTGCTACCTATATCAAACACACCTGCCTGTGATTATCACGTGGTGTTCATTAATTGGTTCAGGTGTGTTTGATATGGGTAGCAACTGAAATCTGCAGGAAGGTGGCTCTCCAGGAACAAGGTTGGCCACCCCTGGTATATCGTTTGTGTGTGTGTGTGTGTGTGTGTGTGTGGGTGTGGGTGTTTCCCATCTGCTGTGTAAAACATATGCCGAAATAGTTGGCAGTTCATTCGCTGTGGCGACCTTTGATAAATTAGGGCCTACTCACACTATGCTATCCGAACCATGGAATATTATAGAGACTTTAGTAATGTAATAACATATTATTACATATATCCTGGACAAGCACTGCTATTTAAAGGGTTGATTCACCAAAAACTGAATATTTACTTACTTTTTACTCTTCCTCAAGTGAGAAAGTCCTTTATGAGTTTATTTTCTCTATTTTACACTGAGAAAGCTAGTTTGAAAAACCTGTAACCACTGACTTCCACAGTATTTGCTTTTCCTATTATGGAAGTCAATGGTTACAGGTTTCTAACATTTTACAACATATAAGTATAAAACATAAAGGTTTCACATAAAAGTCTATTGATATTGTTGACTGGGTCAAATACACTACTGCCTTGTGAAAGTGATCTAGCATCAGTAATGGGCCTCGGGAATGCCATAATATTAAGACCAAACCATCACTGATCTGTCCCATGCTTCCCTCAGGACATACAACAGTCTGGGTTGAACGATTATTTGCATTTTAGTCCAGTTGCATATACATTGAATGAACTGTTATGTGATATGATGGGGTGACCTGTGCCTCAACCCCCACAAACTGATAGGGGTGAACTAAATGACCTTTTTATGAAAGGTGTGACACTTTTACAATCTCAAAGGGTATAAGCAAAACAACAGCAGAAACATCTGATAAGAGGGTCCTGCTGAGAATCGTAAACACAGAATGGTTTGTTTGATGCTAGTACAGGGTTTCTGCAGGGTCTTAAAAAGTCTTAAAATATCTTAAATCTCACAATCCAAATTTTACACTGCAAAAAATGCTTTTCTTACTTAGATTTATTGTCTTGTTTCTAGTCCAAAATCTAAAAGTTCTAAAAAAAACATATTGTCTTGTTCTAAGAAATAATATGCCAAAATAAAAGGAGTTTTTCCTCAAATCAAGCAAAATAATCTGCCAGTGGGGTAATGTGTTAATGTGTAATGTGTGGGGTCTTGTTTTTCGATTTGTAATAAGATTATTTTGCTTACCCCATTGGCAGATTATTTTGCTTGATTTAAGGAAGAACTCACTTAATTTTGGCATATTATTTCTTCAAACAAGACAATATGTTTTGCTTGTCTAGAAAATGCTTCTTGATTTAAGAATTTGTAGATATTTACATGAGATACAAGACAAAAAAAAATCTAAGTAAGAAAAGCATTTTTTGCAGTGTAGGCCTCAAAAAGTTTTAAATTTAGTGAAATTTTGTGTTGTAGGTCTTAAATTTTTTTTTTACAGGTCTTAATTGTTCATTGCTATCCAGCCTGGCCAAAACCCGTTCAATCCCCAACAATCCAACTGAATGAAACTTTAAATTTATTATTTAAAAATGTCATTTTAAACTCTATTAACCATAATGGGTTGATTATTTTCCTTACAATAACACTTGTTTAAAAGTGCTCCATGTATTTACTGCTGAGGACACTGACTTGGACAGATTGTTGTACATATATTTAGTTTATTATAGTTTGTGTACATTTATTTATTTTATTATTTTTTTATTTTAAAGAAAATTTATGTTGGAAAAAAGTGTATGGATATATAAGTAGATCTTTATTTTGCACAATATATAAAAAATTGTGTAAAAGAGTGTGAGAAATATCTAAAATATAATGATTTTTTTTTATTCTTATTGTATTATTGTATTATTAAATGTATTTGAAGCATTTTTTTATAGGGCAAATAAACAAGTGTGTGTGTGTGTGTGTGTGTGTGTGTGTGTGTGTGTGTGTGTGTGTGTGTGTGTGTGTGTGTGTGTGTGTGTGTGAGAGAGAGTGTGTGAGTGTATGGGTGTTTCCCATTGGAAGGAAATCTTCTGTGTAAAACATATGCCGAAATATTTGGCGGTTCATTCCGCTGTGGCGACCTCTGATAAATTAGGGCCTACTCACAACTATGCTATCCGAACCAGGCCTGTTTCCCAGATCGTTTGAGAAGTGTGAGTGCCATGAATCGGGCTCAGGCACGGTTCACTTGGCCTGCCCTGGCCCGGTTAGTATAGGTGGGCCAGAGCCCAGTTCACTTTGGCTTTGGCACAGTACGCTTGTGTGTAAGAGCAAAACGCGCCTAAGCCCGAAACTGAAAGCGAGACGTGACTTTTAAGTGACTGTTTCATATGGATTAATTACTGTACAGTGAACGCAAACTGTCGTAGTTTATTAAAGACGCAAACCCCTCACTGCACGACAGCTGCACCTTCAGCAAACCTCCTCATTCCTGCAGCACAAGGACTTTATGACTGTTTATAAGCATCTACAGTGGCTGATCTGTTCGGCGAAATATTTGACTGTGTGTCACTGCATATTAAACGACTTAAACGATATAACTAAAGCAATCTTCACTCTGCTGAGCGAAAATCGCTTACTGAACAGCGCAGCATAGATGACGTAATCGTGCCTAGGCTCGAAGGTAATGTGAGTGCGGGGCGTCAGGGCAGACATGAGGGGGGACAAGCCAGCCAAATACAGCGAAATCTAACAGGGTGGAATGCTTTTTTGGGGCTTCTCCACTTCATAACCCTTCCGGATGTGGTAAAGTCAGTGAAGGTGTACTCATCAGAATACAATACATGTTTTACATTGTCCACAGCCATTGCTGACACCATTGAATTATTTCTGTCTAATATCTTATTTTGCATTTAATGGAAGAAAGAAACTCTGATGACAATTTTGGGAGAGCTATCCCTTTAAGAGTTGTGCCTCATGCTGCAGATCATACTTCTCTAATGAAGAATTACATTTGTTTATTAAAACTCTCCTCTTTTTTTTATATTGTTCCAGCACCTTCCACCCCCATTACCCAGCAAGACCCCTCCGCCTCCCCCTCCAAAGACCACTCGAAAACAGACCTCCATTGACTCGGGAATCGTCCAGTAAGAGAGAAGATGGCAATGTCAGATGGAGACGTCCACATCGGCCCTCATCCAATGATTTTACGTCAACATCCCTGACAGAATGGCATGATGAATACCTCACATCAGCCTCGCTCATAACAGCTGATCATTGAGTGTCCAAAAGCCTCGACCCCGGTGACAGAGCAAACCCAGAGCGGAAAAGCAGCTGACACCTCGCCAGACGACAGCAAATATAGATATAGTTTTACTGGAGTCAGGGAATTCTGGGTGTTTTTGGCAGATGATGCATGTTTAGCTAAAGCTTGAGATGAATTGAGGTTGTTTCTGGCGGGAAGATGCTTTTTTTATGCACATTATCATTGAGACACGTGACCAATTCCAGCCACTGTGGTGTCGCATAATCATAGATTCCTCTTTCTCTCATTTTTACATGATATTTTTATTCTCAGCATATACACATTTGTGTACAGAGGTTTGTATATATGTTTTTATTTTATTGTTTCTTTTATTTCTCTTGAAAGTACATCAGTTTTATCCTTTTTATTCACAGTTTATATAAGAAATTGGCATTTTTATCCAAAAAGGGCTTTTTATTTGTAATGAGAGGGACAGTACTGGTGTTCGTATATATCTTGGATTGTTTTGTTGTTGTATGTCATGTGGGGTGAAAACAACTAAAACTCATTGTACCAATCAAGCGTATAAACCACATAAAAATATACCAATAACATTGACTGCTCCAAATCCACTACTGACTTCTGAATAAACTCAATATATGTGTTTGTGAAGTGCCGTTTGTTTGATTAATGCTAACCAAATGTTATTACTTGCAATCACTTGAACACCTTATCAACAAACCTAGCAATACCCCAGTATCCATTTTGAAAACACATTAGCAGCTACATAACACCTTAGCCGCCACCAACATCTTATAACTTCTCAGCAACCACTTTGTAGAACATCAGCAATCCATCAAAACCATTAGCAACCACCTATCAATACCCTAGTAACCTCTTTGAAAACACAATAGCAGCTATGTAACATCTTAGCAACATCTTTTAACAGTTAGCATCTCACCTTAATTAGCACCTCACCAACATCTTATTATATTATATTATTATATTATATTAACTGCTCAGCAACTCCTTAGCTAAATAGTAGCAACCCCTTAAAGCATCCTAGCAATACCCTGGTAACTTTTTTGAAAACAAATGAGCACATTAGCAGCCAATCACCAACAACTTAAATCTCCTCAGCAACCCTGCTGAATTTTTTTTTTTCAGTAGAGAACTCTGAGAAGTACATAAGCAATCCCTTAAAACACCTTAGCAACTGTCTAGAAGTACTCTAGCAACTTAAAAAAACACATTAAAAACGACATAGTAGTTCCTTAGCAACCACCTACAAAAACACCTTGACTGACAATAATCTTAGAATAATGCAGTATCTACCCTAGCAACCACACAGAAAACACCTTAACAACCACAGAGCAATCCCTTCCCTACTGAAAAATCCAGCTTAAACCAGCCTAGGCTGGTTGGCTGGTTTTAGCTGGTTGGCGAGGCTGGTTTTAGAGGGGTTTTGGCCATTTCCAGGCTGGTTTCCAGCCATTTCCAGCCTGGTCTTAGCTGGTCAGGCTGGGAGATGACCAGCAAAACCAGCTTGACCAGCCTAGCCAGGCTGGGAGCCCAGCCAAAACCAGCTATATCCAGCTTAAACCAGGGTGGTCAAGCTGGTTTTAGCTGTATTTAGCAGGTCATTTTTCAGCCTGACCAGCTATGACCAGGCTGGAAATAGCTGGAAACCAGCCTGTAAATGGCCAAAACCCCTCTAAAACCAGCCTCGCCAACCAGCTAAAACCAGCCAACCAGCCTAGGCTGGTTTAAGCTGGATTTTTCAGCAGGGTTACAGTGCTCTAGTAACCACCTAAAGGTAATCTATCGGGAACTTAGAGAACTGTAGCAAACACACAAGGGCGTTCGAGTGATCACTTAAAAACAGCTTAGCTACTACTCAAAACACCTTAGTAGCCACTTAGAAAACACCTTAACAAACACATTTAAGCAGTGCCCCAGCAACTGTTCATAAATACCCTAATAACAAGTAGTAGCACATAACAACCACACAGTAATATACTATCGAGTACCTAGCATATTATTCCACTATAAAATAGTTCCCTACTGAAAAAAACAGCTTAATCCAGCCTAGGTTGGTTGGCTGGTTTTAGCTGGTCACCCAGGCTGCTTTTAGATTGATTTAAGCCATAGATATATACATTAGATGTCGCCTGGCCTATTGTTGTCTATTGGACGGAATGCGTCAATAGCGCCGCCATCTTGCTACAGGGTAGCGCTCCTTTGAAATGAATGTGGGACCAAGGTACAGTGGAGGACTGTGGCCATCCAAAGCCAGAGATATACACATATATCTATGATCGGGAGTTTTCCTGGATGTTAGTATGTAATTTTTTTTTCTAATTACGAAAATTATAATTTTACATCACTTTTCTACATTGATGGATCAGTGACTGCACGGGCATTCCTGACAATAAGCTTGAGTTTGTGTGTACAGAAATGTACTATTCACCCTCCCTGTTAAATTTGATCTAATCATGTCCTGAAACACAGCTCCTCTCCTGCTTTCACTTCTCATACTGACGGAGGGAGCGATTCATTTGTGAATTGACTCTTTCACTAACGTTAGCCGACAATAATACAAGTTTCTGGCAGCGCAGCATCTTGTTGTCATATTTCTTTTGCATTGTTTGCTGATTTTATTCAACAAAACTAGCATAAGCTGAGTGTTTAGTGCAAGTTGGAGCTGTTTTGCCTTATGGTGAAAGTGACTGTTATCATCAATAAGCTGATTAGCACAAAAGTTCAGGACATACAAAAACAGAAAAAACTTAATATTACCTATGAAATGTTCTGCCTTGTGCTTTGTTTTCTTTGTTTGCTCGTTACTACACCCGTAGACAGCGCTAAAGTCCCGCATCTTCACTTAATAACACTGTCTTGACTAGTGCGGTTGAATGACATTTGTCCTGGGAGCACTGTACCAATGTGGCGGCGCTATTGACGCATGCTCAGGGTCTCTATGCGATATCTAGTGTATATATCTATGGATTTTAGCCACCTCCAGGCTGGTTTTCAGCCATTTCCAGCCTGGTCCTAGCTGGTCAGGCTGGGAGATAAACAAGCTAAAACCAGCTTGACCAGCCTAGTCAGGCTGGGAGTCCAGCCAAAACCAGCTATGTCCAGGTTGAACCAGGCTGGTCAAGCTGGTTTTAACTGGTCATTTTTTCAGCCTGACCAGCTAAGACCAGGCTGGAAATGGCTGAAAACCAGCCTGGTCAACCTAGGCTGGTTTAAGTTGTTTTTTTTCAGCAGGGTTATAAAACATAATATATCTAAAATAGGAAAGTGAAGGTCATATTTCTGTTTGTCAGAATGACACACGTATGCTTCTGTGCTGTTTCTCTGCTGTTATCACAGGTTGTCCAGAAGGAAACTAGTCAACACTTCAGGAGGTGAGTTGAGTCTGAGGTGAGTTCACTGAGTTTGTGTTCATGACTAATTGCTCAAACATTCAGCAGTGGACTCTGAAAGCTGAAAGGCCATGTTTAGTTTTCCATTTAGCTTTTTAATGCTGCATGTGGAGCAGAATCTCAATGACATTGATGATGGAAACTGGCAGAAGAGCTTTCATCATAAAGACCGCCAGCTTTCACTTGACCAAAACATTCTGAAAGTAGCAAAGTCACTGCATTAGTTCTCACATACAGATGAATGCCCTTCAACCATAGCAATGCCCTAGTAAACGCATCCCTGCTGAAAAAAAAAACAGCTTAAACCAGCATAAGCTGGTTGGCTGGTCAACCCAGCCTTGTTTTAGAGGGGTTTTGGCCATTTGCCGGCTGGTTTCCAACAATTTCAAACCTGATCTTAGCTGGTTAGGCTGGAAAATGACCAGCCTAAAACCAGCTTGATCAGCCTGGTTTAAGCTGGACATTGGTTTTGGCTGGGCTCCCAGCCTGGCCAGGCTGGTCAAGCAGGTTTTAGCTGGTCATCACTCTGTCTCCTCTCCACCAATCAGCTGGTGTGCGGTCTGATGCAATATGGCTACCATCGAGTCACCCAGGTTTTTGCTGCACACTGGTGGTGAATGAGGGGATTCCCCCCAATAATGTATAAAGCACTTTGAGTGTCCAGAAAGTGCAGTATTTCCCCTACTATTATCATAGGGGGAAGCCCCGCCCTCCCAGCAGCTTTCCCCGCCCCCCTTAAAGTCAAGCTAATGTTATTTACTATATAGCGCCAGATCAAAACTTCTTTTAATTTGTAGCTTAACGCTTGTAGAGTTCAAACAATTATTCAGTCATTTACTGCTGTCATTAAAAAGAAACAAATTAACACCATAACTAACTTGTGTTATTTACTATATAGCGCCAGATCAAAACTTATTTTAATAAATAAGCTAAATAGCTAAATATGTAATATCTTATTTAAACAGTGGCATGTGATTACTGCCTTTACATGGTCGCGCAATTACAAATTACTTCTCTCTGAATCGCGCATGGAGTTTGCACAGATTCTCTCAGCTGCATGAAGCTGCCTTTCCACTAAACACGACATTTGGACACGACTGTCAGAATACGCCCCCTTGTGGCAGCCGCACAGTATTTTCAGTGTTGTCGTGCATCAGGGGGGAGAAGCTGATTCTCACGGTGTCAGAAATAAAGGAGGGCAAAAGCAAGAGCCTTTATTCTCTGTGCGTTTACATGGTTTAATGAATGAATGAATACTAGAAACTCATAGACCACCAAAATATTGGAGGGAATGTGGAGACAACATTTAAAAATATATATTTATTACTTTCTTACTTACATTTATGAACGGAAAAGTTTTTTTTTTTAATATAGACTTTTTATAATTCCAAAAATAACCAAATAAACTCCTATTTCTCATCTCGCGCGCACGGACCTGCTTGGACAACACTGGAATACATCATATCCGGTCGGCAGGTCGCATACGGTCTAGTCGCAGAAGTTCAAATATTACAACGGATCTGCAGCTCAATTTGGATCCGAATTTTCAGCCTGATCTCACGAGAAAACGTAAGTATTTTACGTTTTGCCAGTTTAGTGGCTAATTCGTACGAGTTCAGTCGTACGAAATGGTACGATTTTAAAAAGGAGGCGTGGCACCTAACCCCACCCCTAACCCCAACCGTCATTGG